ATTATTAATGGTTGATATGATAAACTCGAATTTTGGAGGATAAACTCGAATTTTGATGTGATAACCTCGAATATTTAAAACCGGTTCCAACCTCTAGTTTGGGCCCGGGCCCAGCCCGGGCCCGTGACTCAATTTAATGTTTTTTGGAGTTTATAGGCTTTTTTTTATAAAGCCCAACCCGGCCCGGTTTTAACCCGACCCGGCCCGGTTTATTTACAGGGTCATAAATGCGGGCCACGGGTATCCCGACCCGAACTTTTGCAGTGCGGGTCGGGCCGGGCCCCGGGTAGCCCGACCCGATTCCGGACCCTACTGTCTATATATATCGTCTACGTTTTATCACCGGAAAACCCATTTTTGGTAAGTGATCTTCATAGCCGCTTTTACTTCACGTGCTCCCGGGGTACAGTTCTACGGCTTACAATATGCTTGATCAATATGTTCGATATGCCAAGCTTCTTAGATGTTTCATTTATCTGCTTTGATAGATCAAAATTTGTGATCTTTGGTTTATTTATCTGTTTTGTAATCTTAAAAAATTACATTAGGTATTCTAATAAAGTTCCGTCGTCAGCGAATTGTAACCATATTATAATATTATCGTTATCTTTCGTTACTCCATAGGGATGGAATGCTTTGTAATAGTTTAAACCTTTAATAAAATCTTTAATGCTTCTTTTGTTAACACTTGCATCAACTTTAAGATATTTAAGGGTAACCGTATTTTTCGTTACACTATCGCGCGAATTTTCTGTTCAAGCTCTTGTGGGCGTGGATTCGTCTATCTAACTCTTATACGTACCCGTGTTACGGTCCGAGGAAGGACTTTCCTGTTTTTGTTGCCGGATAGCTCTAGACCATGAACTTGTTATCAAGTAGCCGTGCGTGGAATATTTACTTATAATTGGGTTATTGTGAAAATTATAATACGTAAAAATATACATTCAACCCAAACATAGTAATCCCCTGACCGCTATACTTAAGAACCTGAATTAAAATTAAACGGAAGTACCTGCATAATACTTTATTACACACGACCTTAGGTTATCTCATGAATTACATTAGATTTAATTATGAAAATATACTTTAGTATATACTATATAATAATAATTAAAATAAAAACAATGGCATATGCTCTGATTTTTGAAATTGTTAGTAATTTGACACATTTTTTAAACTTAAATACCTTTTTATCTACTGGTCGCTTTGGATGGAACAATACCAAAACGTTTGTGTAATGTGATGATTCTAACAAGCCCAAAATCATCAAAAAATAATCACTGGATCCCGAGATCGTTGTTTTTTGCAGGAGCGACGCACCTATAGGGTGAGGAAATTGGTTAGACCACATCTAACCAATTCCCCACTCTATAGGTGCGTCACCCCTGCAAAAAAAACAACGATTTCGGGATCCAGTGATTATTTTTTCATTAAAACGAACATTTTGGTAGTTGTTTCATCCAAAACTGACTCGAATATAAAATTATTTAATTTAAAAAATGTGTCAAATTACTAATATTCCAAAAATCAGAGCATATGGTTGATGTACGATTTGATTCAGAATGTTGTATCGATTGTTTTAACATGATTCTTAAACAGGGCACCACATGATTACAAATTTTAATTCCAGAATAACTTATAACTGATAAATAACACACTCTTAGCAGCATATAACACTTCTATTATATATATTATTTAAATAATGTATTTTTAATAATTCTTTTTTTAGAATTATTTATCGATTTAGACATTGAAAATAACAGCATTAATCACAGGAAAGCTTACAAATTGCTTGAAATGATATTAAATTATATACATCTTAATCGATAGTAATCAAATATTTTCTAAACATCACAGTTGGGATTCGTTAACGAAGGTACGGTTTGATCCACGGTATATTCAATCTCCATTCGAGTATCTCTACATCCGTATGCCGAGGGAATAATTTCAATTAAATAATTTTTGGGTATAATATTTCTAGGTATTTCCTGTTAAATAACAATGTTTTTTTCATTTATCAAATATCGTTTAGAAATAAAAGTTCGTGATAAACGATCTTACATCTTCTGGTTGATCAAACAGATACGCATACAAGCACTTCAGTACTGTTTCATGAGCAATGATCAATACATCATTTTTCTCATGTTCAAGTTCAAGAATTATAGACTCAAGGCGGACAGCTAAATCGTGGTAAGACTTAATAAATAATTTAAATATTTCAAATTATCTTATGTGAGAATTGAATGTGTTATAATTTAATGATAGGCTATCTTTTTGTAAAAGTTGCACGAATAAAAAATTCACAAATTTGAGTTGCTAGCCAGTTTACTGTGCCAATCACGTTTTGTGAATTTTTGTTCATGTAACTTGGTGAAATTTTTTAGCAAATTACCTCAGCTCTCGGGTATCGATGATGATATAGATCCTGTTGTTTTTTCTCATATTCTTCTGGAAATTTTGCCTAGTTCAATATTGAAATTAATGTTACGATTAATTTTGTCAAATTTTAGTAACAAAATTAGGATTATTATCACAATATACTTTGATTTCATCCACAGTTAACCCGTCTGCTTCCCCAAGATTGAGTTCGGCCATTGAACTTCGTTGTTTTACAATATAACCCTCATCCTCAAAAGGTTTCGCAGTTTGGTAAGAACGTCGACGTGCCGATGTCCATATCTAATAAAAACAAACAATGAATACGATATAATTGTGTTTTAAAGAACATTACAATAAACAGCTTACAGTTAGCGTTCTTTCATCTTCATCACCCCAACCTTCCTCTTTTCGTTGTTTTTTTTCTTTTTCCCTCAAAGTCAACAAGAAATTTTTTAAGTTATGTGCATAGCGTATACCCTCAGGGTTTAATTCTGCATCAGCTTTTTGAGACATTTCGTTTAATGATTCTCCTGTCTTTTTGACAAAGAGTCAACATAAAAAATGATATGTTTAAACAAGCAGAATTTCATTATACCTGTGCGAAATATATTATCCTCGGTGAAACATGTAAATTCATTAAATAAAACACTATACGAGACTAAATAATAATAATAATAATAATAATAATTAATATATTGTCAAATAGATCGTAAAACTATTTCAGAATAATTGATATAAACCTGAAGATATCCCTTCACATTATTAACGATAATACGTTCTCCGACATTAATCATCTTAACAAAACTTAGCGAAGTATCAGATATTGTTTGATAATGTCCGAGGTGATTATTGATGCGTTTCTATTACATGAAGACAAATAACGAAAAGCAAGTGTCAATAGATGAGCAGTAATTTTGAAGAGCAAATGAAAATATGTTTTCATACCCAGTAATCTTTGACGGCTTCCTCTCGATCCCAACCAATATACTATATGTAAAATAAGTGTGCGATTTTTATATTAGATAGTAGAAATTGCTTATTAAATCCATGTGAAATTTTCGTACATCCGGTGAAGTTATTTTGACACTTCGAATATTTGCTTCGATAATATCCTGTTTATCACATATCGATTCTAAATTATATTAATCATAATAATATTACCCATATAATATCGTTTTATTAAACTACATAACAAGTAGCGCCAAATTTACCAATGAAAACAGGCTGTATAAGGTAAATTAAACATGCGTTTAAATATATAATACGATTAATGTGAATTAATATATAAAATTTATGTAAGTCTGATATACTCACATGAATATCTTCACTAATCAGGATATCATATACTTCTCTACGCCTTTCTTCAGTCGTATTACTAGCATCCAAGATGCCAACTTGGCCACCATCTTCCAACCATCTTATCATATCCCTTAAACATTCTATCGCTAATTTACGTCGAGATTGAGCAGCCTCTTGATTCCCTTTTAATATTTAAAAATTTGTTATATTTATTAATTATGAAACTATGATACATGTTCCCAACGCATAAATTACATAAATTTTGAACATTACCGAAATCAAAAAAATTTTGTGGTAATTTCCCAACGAAGCCCATTGCTTTACGACGATAGTTTCCTACGCTAAACACTTTGGTAGGAACTCCCAACCATCGAAGATATCTGCACAGTGAGCGCGAAATGTGTGTCTTTCCTCTCGCCGGCAACCTTACGAAATAAGTATCGCACATTAGAAAAATGTATACAAGAAAAGGGACTAAACACTTAACGTACCCTACAGTAATTATAGCTATCTTTCCTGCATGAAACAGACGACCAGACGTTGTCTTATACAATTGAGCAGCCATCGTATTTTTTCCTAGTAATGGAAGGAGATGTGTAAAATTCTCAAAATTTTCCGATCACCATTTGCGAGATGGTGTATCACGTGATTATAATCGCTTAACATTAAATTTTTTAATCCGGCAAGAACTTACCGTAGAAAATTAAAGACATTTTTCGATCTATTAAGACGTACAATCTTTTGAAATATCGGGATTGGTTAAGTTTTGCTGAACATCTTAACTCAAGCTAGTAAGGATTGGAATTGTTAGAATTCAAAAATGGTTAAACATCGAAATTGGCTACCTAATCCTTATCTGTTCATTGCATTATCGTTACAGTCATCCGAGCTTTGAGCGAAATATCAGCAAAAACTTAACCAATTGCAGCATAGATATTTTCGATCATCCGGTTCTTACCATTTGAAGTTACGATCCAGAAAACGTATATTTGTTTTACCTGTTACGTTCTTGCTAAGATATTCCCTGCGATGTATATCACGTGAAAATGCACGCTATCCGTTTTTTATCCTTTTTTGCTTAATTTTTTATGGAGATCTATCGGATAACAATACTATATTTACTAATGAAAATTTTCACGTATATATGTTAGATAATTAGATTAAATAACGAAAAAAAATCGTCATTATGTCGTCTAATATATTCCAAATCACAACAATTTCTTCCGCTGCTGTTCTTGGTGGCTTTTATATATACTCTCCAGACCTTTTTCCTATAATAGCTGCACTTGTTTCTATTTTATGGACTATTGTCGCGGCTAAAGTTTTCATTTTAGAAAATAAAAAAGGTATTTGGTTGCTTTATTTCAAAGTTTCACCTTTGACCTTTTTTATATATATGTTTGTTTATTTGTTTATTTATATCAAATTATCTGGAATCGTATATTATTAAAACTGCTAACAAAAGCACCAGTTTTAAGTCCAGAACAATGGAAACAGTTTCCTCTCGTGAAAAAAATAAATATTAGTCATAATGTCGCCTTGTAATATTTTTCAAAATTCAATTTGTAAATTCGTTATCGATAATGTTAATAAGACAAACTAAATACTGTTTAAATCCATAGATATCGCTTCGGGTTGCCCAACCCTGACGATGTTTTAGGTCTTCCAATTGGGCAGGTAAAAAGAAATTCATAAGTTTTGTTATCGATTTCAGTCAGTGAAGAATATTTAATGTTCTCAATTAGGGATAGGAATCGGCTATAAGATTTAGTCGACTAAATTGACTAAACATAGTAATTTACATATAAATTTTTTAGTCGACTAAATTGATTCCTATCCCTATCCTAAGGTAACGTGTACCTCATATTGTATCAGTAGATTTATAACATGGTAACGATCAATTTGAAATTAGCCCTTTAATTTGCTCATTATTTTGAAAATTTATGGTGGGTACAGTACAGTGCATACATGACAAAATAGTTTGAAAATAACTGCTTTTTTATTTATTAAAATCGAAAGTATTCTAAATACCAATAAATTATACTGTTATAGCAAAAAAAAATTGTTATTTTCTAATTTGTAATTTGATCTATCAAACTTTCGAACACTTTGATGATCAATAATATACGATCGATTAAGAAATTTTCATCAATCACCATTTCTATACGGCACTAACCTCGTAAAAATCACAGAAGGAATATTCGTAAAGGCCACCTCCGGTTAACATATGAATTTCCGTTCCAAATAATAATAATAGTAATAGTACAGTAGTATGTGTGTGGTACATTAGTGATGCCGACATAACGCTTTATCACATGGTATAACTGGTTTTAACAATATTTCATATTTAAAATTGTTAAAATAAAAATGATATATATAGTTAAAATAAAAATATTAACTATCAAATGACGTAAAAGCCAAACTATTATAAAATAGGACTAATGTCAAAACAAATAAAGCAAATCTTTATTATTTCAACATGTTAAATAATGTTGATAATAATCCAATTGTTATAAGCAATATTAATATTTACGACGATTGTTCGGTTTCTTCTTCAAATAATAAAAGATCTAATTCTGGTGGTCGGCCTCAGTAGTATTGCATGACTATAATATAGAAAAAGTGTAAATTACTATTCCAATCGATGTAAATATTGTCTTACGTATCACGTTTGGCTAATTAATGTTCGTTGTCCCACAATTAGGGATGTAAACCAAACTATTTGGGACGTCCCAAATTATGTGACGACTAGTATCACATTAGGTATTTACCGT